ACATATAAAAAACAAAAACGTGTCTGCGAATTGTTTATTTCGAAATATTTTTTCTCCGAGAGCATTTTTTGTACGATCGCTTCACATTTTTTAAATCCTGTTTCGAAAATGTTCTGTAACTTTTTATTGCAATTGAATGTGGCAAAACGCAGACACGCTTTTTTAGCGCTTTTTGCCCTGAAACCGAGAAAAAAAATAAATTGGCGAAAAACAAAATTCGCTTTGACTTGTATCTTCCAAAAGATGATTAGGACGCTCGCATTTAGTGGCCGTGAAAAAATCGGCAGTTCATTTTATTTCAAAATTTTTGGTATGGCTTGATAGCCAGCTCTATAAGCTTTAATTTGATATAGGGCTTTAGGTATCTACAGCTTAAACCGGACGCGCTACATCGCTTGGACGCGAGACACCCCTGAAGGTATACGGTAACCTTAAGTGTGGCGCGCGGAAAGCTACTCAGAGTGAAACGCTTAAAGTGAATTCATGAAAAAAAGATTTTAAAAGCAGCTAAAATTGTATGCGACGCGGTAATTTTGTTAAAATTCGTGCGTGAAACGGGATCACAACCAGAAATCCTGACAGTACAAGAATATCGATGCTACTCCAGAAAATACAAAGAAGGTTAAAAAACTTGGCCTGAAAGTCAATGGCAAGAGAAGACTTCATATTTTGCAAACAGGTGTTTGCAGTTTGGTCTTCAGCTAAGTTTATTATCGTTAAAAATGCAAGTCGTTCTTCGCACGGCATTGGAAGAAGTGAATATCGTGGATTCATCTTCAGCAGCATCAAGTGCTATTCAACCAAGCATCTCCACAAATATTCAGGATTCTGGGATTAAATTGACGAAAAACAACAATTTTTTTTTCGAAATAACTATTATCCTATCCTAACTATTATCCTACCTCTCCGAACACGAGCAATCCATTACTGGAGCCAAATTAAGAAGCTTGGAAACTCAATCTGTTTCATATTTCTCACTTTTTACAATCTGATATGGTTTTTGGAATTGCAAATCCCTTTTCGTGAGTACTCAATGCCGTCTCCAGTCAGAAACGTTTTTCGACTTCAATTTCTTCCCTGTGAACGCGGTACATTGATGTCAGGACAGTATAGTTTTCCCAAAATGAGCATTGGTACCCTCCTTCCAGTTAATTAGCCCTTATCCCAATCCAGATTAAATCTATCTTTGAAGACGAGGGAAATGAAACGTGAAGTCAATTAAATGTTTCCAATGTTAACCATTGAAAAAGCATTATTCCCTTCGGTTACTTTTGAGTAATATGTTTCACTGAGCTCTTTGGTTCAGAAAAATTCGTTTCTTTCTCTGTAAGGATAAAACGATTTCAGTGTATTATACCACCGTGAGTTTTAGAATTTTAAAACACTACAAAAATATGATATATGCTGTTTTTAAAAGGTAGTATAATATATAATCAGAGATATTTTGTTTCATGGGATACTTAATTGATATTTTTAACTTGATATTTTGTTCAAAAGCAATAAAAATACATAAAACGGAGTGCTCATAAACATTTAGCAACTAGCGCACAAGTATTCGGTAACCTTTAAAAGGTAGCTTTACTATAAGTTTTTCTTATTTCATTAGCATCTGCGCGAGGCTCGTGTGTGTGGAACATCCAACTTTCGGAACCGTTTTATTTAAAAATGTCTACAATTTTCCATCCACTGTGTGGAATCCACTTTAATATTATTGCTCAGTCACAGTAGACATTTGTTGATAACATTCTTGTCTTTAAAGGTGATTTCTAGTCCGTACAGCGCAGTCTTAGCACCCTAATGTTTATAAGTAGTTGCGAAATGTTTGCATTTTGTGATGTCTTACATGAAACAAAACAAAAAACGTAATCAAACTCTCGAGAGAACGCAGTACGGACTGGAAATCATCTTTAAATTATTTTTTTTCTTTTGTCATAAAAAGTCTTACAATTCTATTCCTGAGATATATAATATATGTTTGATGATCTGATGGTTTGTTTCTATATCAGTCATTTTATTTTAACGGACTATTTGCCTAATTGAATATCAATTAATAATAATAATAATAATAATAATAATAATAATAATAATAATAATGGCATTTCGGGCACAGGGTGGCTCTTCGCCTGCCCGATGCTAACTAAATTTACAATTGTAAAATCATTTTAAGTTTTTACGGTTACTTGATAACAATTTCCTATTTCGTAATAACGGTTTTTATTATTATTATATATATTTTTTATTGTCTCGATTGTTTCATGAAGACGTTCCCCCTAATTTATTACACGGCAAGAGCTCTATTGTCCAAGGTCCTTAAAGATTGTATGAAAACACCAAACCAAAATTTCCTGGTTGTTTCACTTTCCAGTTGCTTTATGCTTTGCTATTTTCAGGATAACTGTAAATCACATTAAGAAACAAAATATTCCACTTGCCAGTTAACTTTGGAAAGCAAATGAAGTCAAAGAAAGCTGGTCAAACAAATGATGCTATAAAGTAGTGCCCTCTTTCTTTTAACATCGCACAGACCTCGGTAGGCTGAGGTTGTCGGAAGCAAGTAACGTATTTATCATGAAGGTCGTGATTGTCTTTATTGCTGCCATAATTTTTGGAGCGTTGGGAGGTAAAAAAAAGAATATGCTAAATGTAGTCGCAATTATGATCGATTCTCCTTTTTCTTTTTTTGCTTTCATTATTTGACGCCTGATGTGTGCTTGACATCTGATGTGATTGCTTCGAATTTTGTTATCCCTTGTGAATTAAACAAAAAAACGTAACTTCTATTGTTAACGTGAATAACAACTTCGTTGTGTTTATATAGTATTTTAAATGTTAAAATTGTTCCCAAATTCAACATTTCTTGGCGAAAAGAATCGGTGAGTCTTTTTCTGGTTTATCAAGATGAAAATGTCTAAATAGTCTTTCATTTTGTCACCGTAAATTTTATGTTACCGCGTCGATTGTTTTTTACTATTATGTTACATTTTAAGTAAAAACAATGAATTTACCCTGTGTAATGAATTCTAGGAAACTCCGCTGAGGGTTTGACATGCAACTATTGCCATAGTTCCACGTCGATGGATGACTGCACTGAATCTCAAGAGGTCCAGCAGTGTTCGCATGGGGAAACACATTGTGGTGAAATGTACGCCCAGCCGAAAGACGTGGAGTTCTTTGTGAAAGCATGCATACCGGAAGACCTTTGCTCGACTTATTGCAAAGATGGATACAATGAAGAGGGGGGATTTAACTGCGAATTATACTGCTGTGAAGGAGACCTCTGTAACTGAGCATTGCTCTAAAAGTGTGCCCTAAAATGGCGCCGGTAAAATTTAGCTGTTAATAAATGGCAAACATTTAACAAGAGTTGACTCAGTAAAATAAAATTAAACTGCAATGTTATCTGTTATGCCTGTTACTTCAAGTGTGTTGTTATATCTTTCAAGAAAACCATAATTAATGCTAACCGACAGCTCAAAATAGAAGCGTTAACTTTGCTGCGATGTTCTGAGAGGTATCTCAGAACTTATGTGTATAATTATGTCAGTAGCAAAATATCAGTACTTCACAAACAATCATTACCTTTAAAGGCAATTTCTTTCGGAAAAGCAGTCCTGCTTGAGTTTTAGTACAACGCATCACAGTGCTGAAAACCCCTTTAAGGTGGTCTTATACCTTCAAAATATAAGTCTCCTTAAAACAACTCTGTGGGACAGTTTTGGTGCCACGTGAAGGACTTCGCAGTCTGACTTAAAAAGTGAACTTTTCCAGGTCACATGCCACAACAGTTAGTGAATAATTACCTTCTAAGTGTTGTTAAAAAGTGGTGTTCATTACAGTACGATAGCTTACTAATGAATGGTTCGAGAAGCATGGAATTAAGCTCATCCTGTCCATAAGCAAGTTGCCCAGGTTACAAACCTCATCAAACAGTGTTTTGGGGGGTTTTCTTTTTCGTGAAACTGAGAAAAAGCTCACTAATATTACCATAGTTAGTAGAGGGGAATAGTTATGAAACTCGGCAAACTTCAAAGGGTTAAACAATAGCGCGGCCTCCGATGTTGAACAAACCCGTCACGTGACTCTGACCGTGCAGAAGTTCATTCAAGATGGCGGACTGTACAGACGGTCTGTTCCTGTTGGGAGACGATTTTGAGGCCTTTTTGGACGTTTCGGAAGACACTGAAGAGGTAGAGGAACAATTTGCGCTTACAGTTAGAAATGTAAGTTGAAAAATGGTAATTTTGAGTCGAAATTTCGCATTACTGTTCTTAAATTTGCTACGCATAGTCTGCTCGACTCGTGTAAACAAACGAAATCCAGCAAATGCTCACGCAAATATTAAGCTTATATATTGCTTTCCTTCGATGAAAATCTCCTGTCGGACTCTTTTGAAACAAGGAATACTTATACAAAAGCTTCGAGAAAGCTCAAAGCTCCGAGATGTAGTGATTTATTTATATATTATTTTGAGGGGTAAACCTTGCAATTTATAGAGCTTCCTTCACAATACTCGAAAAAAGCCAACGTACAATTTCCACATTGAATTTTTGATGTTTAAACTATTTAGTAGTCTATTTGTTTTACAGTTATCATTTTTTGATGTCTTTGTAGAGGTACAGCTAAAAGAAGATAGAAATGAATTCTCTGCCATCAAAACAATCTATGAAGGATATACAAGAAAAGGAGACACAGAGAAGTTTTATGGCAAATATTATGCAACAGTTGCTGTTGCTTAATTCCCCTCTACTAACTATGATATTACTTAATAATTACTATATTACGTAAATAACATGGAAAACATTCCACAAATTGAAAATGTTTTCGTTTTATGACCTAAGTTATTGTGTTCTTACCAATCTCGAAAATTTGACAACATTCGCTTGAAACCCAGTGAATCGGGAAGATATCGTGTCCGAAATATTGGTGATCTGTTGATTTGGTCATTTTGAGAAAAAAGGCCTTAAAGTTTTACTTCGGTCTCCGAGAGCCCAAATTAGCCCTGTGAACAGAGGGGGGTGGGGGGGAAGAGGCAAGGGGAGGGGATAAATCGAAATTTTTTACAAAAACATTCCATGAAATACCCGAATACACACCAGTCATGGAAATGTTAACCAAGTATAAGTAGCGTATAAGATGGTAGAGGAAACAATGTTCAGGACATTGAGGCACAATTCTCATAAGTACGCATCTCTAAAGCTTTCCTGTAAAGTATCATTAAAATGTACTGAATGCAATCCATTTGGTGAGTCATTTTGGACTGTAAACAACCGTCGCTATGAGGGTTGCTACCAGTGTGCAGATTTCTTAATTTATAATGGTAATAGGACTGAGTGGAGTCCAATTCTGTCTGTAATCATACAGGTGATTATAACAAAATCGGACGACCGCGAAGCTGGAGTCCGATTTGTTAATCATGAGTATGATAACAGACTGAATTGGACGACACGATGACTTGCTACTAATTATTCATAACCATTACAATTTCCCACAAAAGTAAAAGTTTCATTTAAAAAATAGTCATTTTTAAATATCAAATTAAAAATGTGGAGAATAGCTTGCAAAATGGTTGTTAAGTTTCTTTCAAAACAGTCACCGGAGACTAAACCTCCACATTTTTCCGAAGTCAGACCTCGCGAATTGCAGGGTCCGAAATTGCGCTTTCCTGGTCGCCAATGCGACTAAAAATTTTGCACTGGCGACCAGAATTTCACAGCTAGTCGCCAGTGGGCGATTAACTATTTCAAACCACGATAATTACACAAACTTAGATTTTCAGCCAAATCGATTAAAATAAGATTCAAAGCCGCCCGCCAATTGGTCACTTACTTTTTACCTTTCCGCCGCTTTTGAAGTATGAAACCGATTTTCCTGTTATTATAACTCTACCACAACGTTTCACAGCTACGATCAGTGCGAAGCTTCGCCGCCATGTTTTTCCAGCGGTTTCCTATAAAATACGTATCGCGGGCGCAGAAGGCTACGTGCGTTCTTTCGCCATGAATATATCTTCTGGCGATGTGGTGTCCAAAGATGTCCTGAACTCTTTCCGTAATTTATTACAAAGTGGAGACGGAACATCCGCGAAGAAATTAGTGGAAGATTTCGATATTCAACATGGCGATCCGTCGATCGTCTTGACAGAACGCGAAAGGAACGATCGTTTTGCACATAGAGCAAAGAACCAAACGGCAGTTTTCAGTCGGGTACGTTTCTTCTCCAAAAGGTAGAGACAAGAGAAGGTATAAAATTGACTCGAAACATTTGGCAGTCGCACGAAACTGCGTATATGGCCGGCATTCGATTCGTTCGTCGTGGGGTTTCAGTGGCAGATGTATAAATAATCAGGGTGTTTGTATTTAATCTTATCGTGAGCGGAAAAATCGCCATCATTGCGGTCCCAAACGCGTTCTCTTCGTTCCGATTCTTAAAAGAAAAATTGGCGAGCAGAATTTTCCATCTGGCGACCAAAAATTTTGGTTTGTGTTTTTTGCGAAGGAAAAAGTTTATTGACACTTTGTGGCGACCACATTTTTCCATATGGCGACTGAAAAAAAAATTTCAGTTGCCAGTTGGCGCCTGCCTAAAAAAGTTAATTTCGGACCCTGAATTGGTTACTATAGTGATTGTAATCAATGTTGTGATTGGTGGATTTAGTGGAGAGGACTTAAAATGATTGGCTTATGTAACTGTGCGATTAGAGGTTTCCGATTACAGCCAACTGTCCGATTACACTATCCGATCACAACTTTGCAGTTTATGCACCAATCACATTTTCAGAAATTATAATTGTTATGATTAAAACGTTAATTTTTAAGTGATAAAAAAACCTAACAACATGAAGTTCGACAAGACTTTTCATCGGTTCTGCATTGCTAGGCTGCCGAGTATGGCGAATTCTCCTTCTTTTCTTGAGCAAATTACAGATCTAGAACTTTCGTTATTCCGCCACCATTTTGGATTAATTTGCACTAATTTACGTTATTTTCTGACTTTGCGAGAAATAGCGGAATTCAAGATGGTGGATCCAAGATGACTTGAAATGAAATCGTGAACGTCACCTAACTTAATAAGCCTCTTATAGATCAAAACAACGGTTATCAGTCACTGCCCCTCCTCCACCCTTGTAACACGGTGGGGGAATGCAAGCACAAGCGATTTTTATGTGATGAAATAATGGAACCATCGTATTTTGAAATAATCAGGAAAATAGAATTAACTAAAAAAACATTTTTTCTATGTGAGGCTACTATGAAATTCAGATTGCAGGCGGTCTTCGTTTTGCTCTTGATAATATTGGTTATCCAGAATAATTTCCAAGACTCATTGGAACCCTTCCAGATTGGGAGTCTATCTTTCAAAACGACGGAATCGAATCGTGAAGTCAAATAAATTTTTTCCACGAACTATTGAAAAAACATTTTTTTCCCCCTGCTGCTTTTGGGCAAAATATATGGCCTCTTGATTTGTATCATTTCCTGTGAGGATAAAGCGTTTTTCAGGTTTTTTTTGTTAAGCCACCACCTTGCATGATTATTAGAATTCTAAAAACAGCAAAAACATGATATATGCTTTTTTAAAATATATATCTATCTATATAATAAGTAATCAAATATTTTAGCATTTCATGGGGTACTTAATCGATGTTTGCATGGCGGTTTTGTTCACACGCCATAAAAAGACATAAAATTGAGTGCTCTTAAACATTCAGCAATTAAAGCAAAAGTATTTACCTTTCAAAAGAAGTTTTACTACAATTATTTCTTATTTCATTAGCATCTGCGCCCGGGCATCTGACCAAGGTTCATGTGAGTGGAACAACCGACTTTCGTCACCGTTTTGTTCCAAGGATGTCCAAAATTTTACACCCAGTTTGCGAAATCATTGCTCAATCACGGTAGATATTTCCTTATAACATTCTTCGTCTTTAATTTTTTTCTGTCTTTAAAGTCTTCGAACCCTTTTCTAGGATACGTAACAGATGTTTGACGATTTGACGATCATTTTAACGGACAATGTGCTTAATTGAATATCAATTGAAAATTAATTTCACTTTTTAGGTTTACATGATAACACTCTCCTATTTCGTAATAACCAATGTTATTTTTTATTGTTTCATGAAGACCTTCCCTCTAATTCATTGTAAGGCAGAAGCCGACTATGGTCCAAGGTCGTTCTATGAACAATTTGATTAAGAACACGATACGAAAATGTCCTGGTTATTCCACTTACCAGTTTGTTTTTTTTTATTTTCAGGATAACTGTCAATCACTCTAAGAAACAAAATATTCAACTAGTTGGTTAACTTTGGAAAGCAATTGAAGTCAAAGAAAGCTGCTCAAACAAATGTTTCAATAAAATGCACGCTTCGTTTCAACAGTGCACAGCTTGCAGTTGGCTGAAGTTGTTAGATTCAAACAACGCATTTATCATGAAGTTTGTGATTGTCTTTTTGGCTGCCATATTTTTTGGAGCGTTGGGAGGTAAAAAAGAACATGCTAAATGTAGATGCAATTATTATCGATTCTCTGTTTTACTTTCATTGGTTCAAATTTTATGAACACTTGACACCCGATGTAGTTACTCTGAATTCAAAACTCTTCATTCAGAAGCTATATATCATTTAATGCAGAACTGCTGCTTTTTCGTATCCCTTGTGAATTTTATAAAAAAAACTTTCCTTCTATTGTTAACATGAATAACAGCTTCGTTGTGTTTATAGTTTTATTGATGTAAAAATTGTTTCCCAAATTCAAAATGTTTGGAGGGGAAAGTATCACTTTGTCTTTTTCTGCTTTGTACTTGAAGATGAGGCATTTAATTGTGTTAAGTTTTCTTTTATATTTCTCGTTAAGTTCACAGTTTGAAGTGTTACGAGTGCCAAGCTTCTCCTTCACTTGATGACTGCTCATCGCAAGCAACACAAGTCACATGTCCTTCTTATCTCAATAACTGCGCCTCTCTGACTGTAAAGGTCGAAGCTGGTGGCGTATCGGGCCAAGCTCACGCGAAAGGTGCGCTTCTTTACTTTAATTCAGTATCTTAGTTTTCAATAGACCTTTCCCGTATTCCAACAAACAATAGCGCCGAGTCGAGGTTGGGATGAACAAAAATACAGCAAATGTATAAAAATGTCCACCCCAACCTCACTCTGGTGCTATTGTTCGTAGCACTTAAGTGGAATGCGGGAAAGTTATGTGTATAATATTTTTACCTTTATGAAGTCACCCTGAAGTAATCTCTCTCTTACATTGTTTCTTTTCATCGTTTTTGTCCAACAAAGCGTGCATGACAGACGATATATGCCAGGGAAGCCTCCCGGATGTCTGCAACCAAGAAGGATATGAATGTAACATTGAATGCTGTTCAACTGACTTGTGTAACAACGCGGTTGAGGGCGGAGGTGAAGGTGAAGGTAGGAAAAATTTTCTTGAGTTAAGTAAGATGCAGTGTAATGCCAGCTCGTGCTACGTGGCGCATGTCACATTTGCTTATCCAAAATGTACTAAAAACATCTCTTTTCTATTAAACATACTTCCTTGACATCTTGTAAGAAACTGTGGATCCATACCTTATTGGTTGGTATAAAGTAACAACTTTATTTAAGTTGGAATTCCTAACAGTTGGGAATTCGTGGCAGTTTCTGATTATCTGGTCGAAAGAAGCGTGGTGGCACATAAAGATCAAATAAATACGTTGGCTGGTGCAAGACCATTAGAACTGTAAAAAAAATTGGAGCCTAATATTGTTTCTGTTCCAGCATGGTACTGAAATATGGGGCTCCGCCTATTATTCCAAGTATCTCCGTCAACTAGACAGATTTCTTCAGCCTGCAGTTAAGTTCGGTTATTTGATACAGATCCCATCAAGAGCTGACATGATTGATACTAGCGATAGAGGCTACAGGGGACCAAGACTCTACAGGGCCACTGCATAGCCTGCTGCCTTCTACCCAAACTCATGAGAGAAGCCACAACTTCGTTCTGTTGCGGGTTACGACAAAGTGTTTTAAAAGAATTTTCAGAAATAGGCGCTTTTTTAACTTTATTAAATTACCCTCTTCATTTTAAACCATTTTTTACCGGGCAGTTTCGAATTAAATTTTATTTCAATATTTGCATTTTTACCTTTCATTTTACCAAACCTTTTTTATTGTAAATTCAAACGGATCCTTTGAATTTTAGTTTTTAACAAAGACCATTGTCATCATCATCATCATTATCATTATCATCATCATCATCATCATCATTATTATTATTATTATTATTATTATTATTATTATCGTTGTTAATATTTTTATTATGGTGCATGTTACGTACGTGTCCGATAGTAAAAAAATGAACGAGGCGTTGGCTTTTTATTGAAATAAGGAAAAACTGCGGGTTGTCATATTCAAAGTAGGTCTCAACAAATGAAGCTGAGAAAATGTCCTAACAGCCTTTCATTTTCTGTCACTCTGAATTATCATGTTACTGCATGGAGTTTTCATTATTATGTTACATGTCAATTAAAAACAATAAATTTACCCTGTGTAATGAATTCTAGGAAGCTCCGCTGAGGGTTTGTCATGCAACTATTGCTATAGTTCCACTTCGATGGATGACTGCACTGAATCTCAAGAGGTGGAGCAGTGTTCGTCCGACATGACACGTTGTGGTGAAATGTACGCCCAGAAGGGAGACGAGGACTTCTTTGTGAAGGCATGCATACCGGAAGAGCTTTGCTCGACTTACTGCAAAGATGGATACAATGAAGAGGGGGGATTTAATTGCGAATTATACTGCTGTGAAGGAGACTTCTGTAACTGAGCATTGCTTTAAAAGTGCACCTTAAAATGGCGCCGGTAAATTTAGGCTGATAATAAATGGTAAACATTTGTCAGGAAATAAAATCAGTTAAATCGCCATGTTATATGTGAAGCGTGTTATTATATCTTTCAAAAATCCATAGCTGACTGCTCAAAACACAACACAGTAAACTTTCTGGTAATGCTCTGAGAGATACCTATGTAGTTAAATATCCGTACCTTGCAAAAAATATTTGCCTTTTTAAGCAATTTCTCTCTCCATTGGTACTCAACATTGGTGTTGTCAAAATGCCTACTGGAATTAAAAATAAAGAAAGTGCGTAATATTAAAAAAGCGTTATTGCTAGTCTTAACTAACTCCCTGCTTTAGACAATCTTATTTGCTTTTTGTCTAACTGAGATAACTAAAGCTGTCCCGCCGGCGTCGATAGTAATACAGCCACTTCAGGCACCACGTACTGCTAATGAAGCCTTACAGCTGTTCAAGCAAATAGACCTATAAACGCAAATAGCAAAATTAATGATCATTAAAAGGTTTCTGATGGCATCCAAAAGAGGAAGGAAGCTGTATTCATCATGAAGTTTCTCACCACAACCCTTCTGTTCGTAGATCTCCTGCTCATTCAAAGTGGCCAGGAATAGTCATGATTTCTTTCTGAGGGAACTTGACCTTGTTTTAACGTTTCAAATGTTGATAAATTTTGTTAATGTAAAAATATAACCGCGTGCTTTTGACTTTGAGGTCGACATTAAACAGTGCGACTGTAAAGTGGCTCAATAGCGTAACGATTTATCGCGTACCGCGCGCTAGTGTTATGTTTTGAAAGCTGTTTTTGCATTCGTGTTAACACCCAGTCCTCTCAAACATAAGCAATGATGATATATCGATTTACTATCATCTCTATTAACATCTTGGATTTTAATCTTGAATTATAAATGTAAACTGGTGCGTTTATATGGCTTTATTTGTGATTTCCTTCGGTGAAATTTTCCAAATCTTTTATAGTACATTAAACCCGACGGGATACGAATTTTAAACACGAAACAAGTAGGGTTTGTAAAGGCAGTTTTTTTTAGATTTATACAAATTTATGTCATTTAGCGCTGCGGAGAAACTGGTCAGATAGACTTCCCTGAAAAGACCTCTGAAAAACGAGCTCCAACTAAAGTGAAGTATTTATTACCCATCTGCCAAATTTTGCGGAATTTTACCAAAGGAAACGCGAGAAAATTCCCTGCCAGTTTTGCCCAGTTGTGCTCATGTTGATGTCATAAAATATCGAAAAACACTGACGGTTTCCTTTGAGCGCGCGCAGATTACTTGAGCTTTCGTCCTAAGCGCGAGTGTGATCGTAAAACTATAGGGAGCTACCACCTTAAGGGAAAAGAAATTGTCAAGGAGCAATTTTGTTTTTAATTGTAAAATGTAAAGTCTGCATACGAGCCAAGTGGCCCACCAGGCCGGAGGTTATCCCGGTTTCCGTAGCATAAAGCGACTGGGCATATTTCTACTCCCTCCCTTTACGGGATGCTAGTCCATCGCAGGGTTACCACCCAGCATTAAATTCGCCGGTACCCATTTATACACCTGGGTGGAGAGAGGCACTGAGAGAGTAATGTGTCTTGCCCAAGAATACAACCCAATGTCCCCGGCCAAGGCTCGAACCCGGTTAAAAACATTGCTTTAAATAATCGAAGGGTTCGCAAAATCCGGATTCCACTCCAATGTTTCCTTACTACTTAAAATTTAATTTACCATCTTGATAAAAAAAGAGTAACAAACTGTTAAGGTTTCAAGTGTTACAGACAAAATTCAAGAGGCTGTCTCTGTAAGAACCGACCACTGATTTGTTACCTAGTCAATCACTAAAATAAGTTTATTACATTAAAAATTCCAGTTGAAGTTTTCTAGGATTGATTGAAGTTCGGTCCGCTCGACACAAGTTTCATGCCCGCCGAAACTGGAAAAATAGCACATATTGCCGGCGC